TAGCAATGCAGTCCCACGTCTGCCGGCACCCAGAGGACATATGGTGACGGTGAGCTGAGCGGGCTCCATGCTTGCCGTGGTATGTTGTCTGCACAGGTAACCCAGGTAAAAAGGCGCGAATCTATTGTCTGCCGTTGCTGTGACGGGGGGGAGGGGCCTGATGACATGTACCCAGAACCTCCCGCGACACTGTTTTGCATCATCCGGGCATTGGGATCTCAACCCAGAATTCCAAGGGTGGCGGAGACTGCAGGAACTGTGGGATAGCTGTGGGATAGCTACCCATAGTGCAATGCTCCGGAAGTCGACGCTAGCCTCATACTGTGGACGCGGTCCGCCGACTAGAGCACTTAGAGCATTTTATGTGGGGACACACACAATCGGCTGTATACAACCGATTTCTATAAAACCGGCTTCTATAAATTTGAACTAATTTCGTAGTGTAGACATACCCTTAGATAGAATGTGTCTATACATCATCATAGCAACCACACCAGCAATCATTATAGCTAGGGTGAAGAAGCTTTTACCCACTGAATACCTCTTTTTCACTTGTTTTATTAAGATGTGAATTTTATCAAGATGTGAATTTTACATATTGCCCATTAGCCAATTAGCGTTTCTTTCTGTTGATCTTATAATTATGCCCAAACTTCTCAATTTGTTCCATGTGTTTTTCAAGCCAGAGTTATAACAGGCTTTCCCAAGTTTTAGAGCAAGCATATCCTTATTAGGTGTAGCTTCAGTTGACCTCAAAGCAGATATAAATCAGATACGAGAAATCAGGACATATAGATGAAGGCCAAACAGTTAAAACAAGAGAATGCAGAAGACAGATCTGGACTTCATTAAAACGTTTGATACAATGCCTCAAAAAAATCTGATGTGGAAAAATTAATTCAAAGTGACTAGGGTTTGAGCACTTTCAGATGGCTTGAAATTAACTGAAAGACAGAGTAATGCAGAATGATGATAATATCAAGTTAGTGGTGTCAAGGATGATTTTATTTACAACTGTATTACAGTTCTGGAAGAATGAAACAGTGCATTACTTGAATGTGCAGATAATACTAAACTGGGAGGTGTCAAGAGCCGCAGTGAGGAAGAAAAAGGTATATGAGGAAACCATAAGAATAAAGATGTACAGGAAATAAAATGAGATTCACTGTAGGAGAAAATGTAAGCCAATGCATCTGAGGGAAAATAATCCAAAACACAGATATTCAGTAGGAGAGAGATGCAGCACTGGAAAAACAATAATATTGAAAAAGACCTGAGGGTGATTCTGGATGGCAGATTAGCTATGAGCCTGCAAATCAATATGGCATTTTAGAAAAGTGGATTGTTGGGACACACATGGGAAACAGCACACTGTGGACTATGAAAGCAATAGTCTCTCTCTGTATTGCAGAAGGGAGGCTGAACCTACAAGTCTATAGAATTCAGTAGAGTGATTTTGAATTTACATCTTGAGGTAAATAAGCAAAGAATATAGCTACTGTTTGGAGAATAATAATATGTAGTTGTTATATAGCTCCTTTCATCAGTAGATCTCCAAGTGTTTTACAAAGGTCAGTATCATTATTCCCATTTTACCAATGGAGAAACTGAGGCACAGAGGCACAAAATGACTTGTCCAAGGTCACTCAACCAGCCAAAGCCAGCAATAGAAACAGAGAGAATGAGAAAGGTTTAAAGGTTTAGAAAACATGCCTTTCATAGTGATGGACTCAAGAAGCTCAAATCAAATTAAGGGCTAACTTGATTACAGTCTATACATACTTACATGGGAAACTAATACTTGATAATGGGCTTTTCAATCTAGCCAACAAAGATATAGCAAGATCTAATGGCTGGAAGTTGAAAGTAGGCAAATTCAGACTGGCAATAAGGTGTACATTTTTAAAAGTGAGGGTAATTAACCATTGGAACAATTTTCCAAGTGTGTGGTGGCTTCTTCATCATTGGCAATTTTAAAATCAAGGCTGGATGTTTGTTTAAAAGATATGCTCTACTTCAAAAGGAATTATTACTATGGCCTGTATTATACAGCAGTTCAGGCAAGATGATCTCAATGGTCCCTTCTGGCCTTGGAATCTATAAGCCCAGACATCCTGAGTACCAGTAGAGTGTAAACTGCTTCATTCCTTATATTCAGACTACTCTTTCCTCTACTAAATTTTATCCCATTACTTCAGATTATGCTATGACCACCTACTTTAAATAAGTTTCTCTCTCCTGGTTTCACCATTCAGATATGTGTAGAAAGTTTTCTAATCTGCCCTTATTATTTAGCAAATAATATCTACCTTTTGTTTTAATCTTCTCTGATAAATCAGTCCCTCTGAACAAGTAACAATGAATTTATCTCCCACAATTCCCTCCAATTTGTCCAAATCTTTCTGGTACTAAAATGTCTAGAACTACCAGCAGTATTGTGCATTCTAGAGGAACTACGTGGCCTGGCCGATATTATAATAATTGAAGTCAGGGGAGTTACTCCAGGTTTATACAAAGGTAACAGCAAAATTTTGTTTAGTGAGACCTGTTAGATTGTGGAATATAATCTTATTGGAAGTGGTGAAAGCATCATCATTTTGGGTCATTTTAAATGAGACCAGACAAAGCACTTCATACTGTAATGCAATGGCAGAATGTGAACAAGGAAACCTTCAAAGCTACTTTCATCTCCTGATTCCATGATGCATGAATTATCTTGCATTTCTAGCATTCATATGGAAGGTGAATCATATTGCTCTGTATGTTCCTTGTAGCTCACCAAAAAGCAAACATTGTGTACTGGTAACCAAGCATTATTTAACACAATATGTATCTGCAACTGTACTTAACATCATACTAGCACTAGTTAGCCTTACTCAAAGCATAATGAATAATTTTCTAGAAAACCAGATCAAACCTACTAATCCTAAACTGTACTCCTCGCTGGAATATCTTTGACAGAATCAGTGCAACATCTTTTAAGACAATTAAAGATTGGGAGAATTTATCCAGGATTCTCCATCATGAACATTCTTTTAGATTACTGGAGGTTCAAAGAACCACTGAGAATTCTTCATATAATGCTAGGCAGTTAGTAAAATGGGTATTGCTAGTAAAGAATAGACCATTTGGAATTTTAAAAGCTGATGGGAGGGACATTGGAGGAACAACAAAGATAGATAAAAGTATATAAAAAGGCAAAATTATGGGTAAAAAGGATCATATTTATTGTAGTAAATTTGCTACATGGTTCTTATTAGTTGCATGAAATCCACATATATTTAAAAATGTAAATATCCATGACAGCTCCGCAAAATATTTGATTTTTTTAAAATCAATACAAACCACAACTTGTAAAAAGTAGTAGCACTGCTTCCTCTATAAGAACATGGGCCAAATCACACTCCGCTCACTCACACAAGTAGTGCCATTTAAGTCTATAATATTACGTTCAAATGAGTATGGCAAAGAGGATTTGATCCCGTATTTGGTCCTGGCAGAAAATTATGTGAAGAGTGAGAAAATGTGTCTAGAGCCAAATCTCCTGACAGTGATCTGAAGGGAAAAAAAATTGGGGGCAGCATACCAAGCTGAAGCTCTCCTTGAACCAGACCCACACCCACAAACAAATCAGACTGCCATAGAGGGTCCTCAGTAAAGGCACCTATATTAAGTCAAAAGATTGAAGTAAACGAAAGGCTAGTAATGTGCTTTGGGGGGAAAATCCTATGTAGGGGATCTGATTCTGCTCTCAGTTAAATCAATAACAAAAATCTAATTGACTTCAGTGGGAATGGCCTCATAATTGTATTTCTAAAACATAAATGAGTACAGTGAGAGAGCACAATTGTTTAAATATATGTCTCTAATCTGGTAGTCAATTCCTGTTCTGACTCTGAAACAGACCCATATCAGGGCTCAGTGCTGGTCTATGCATTAGATCTCAGTTCAATTCTAACAAAGGAAAACCTCCTTCAGAATCATCATCAGCAGGGCATTTGTAAGAGATCATTATTTTCAAGAAGAGAGAAAACCCCATTCTCTTTTTACGGCTCCAGCCTGGCCCTGGGCTTCCTAATTACAATCAAAAGGTTAAGCTGGCCTTGTGATCAGTGGGCTTTCGTCCTTGAACACAGAAATGAGCTCACAGCTGATCATGCAGAGGCAACCGCTGGTGTGTGTCTCTCTCTTCCCTGCCGCCCGAGCCTGTTCGGAGCAGGAACCCCGCATTACATCACCGGCTCGCTCGCTTGCTCCTGGGGAGGGAAGGAGCAAAGCGGCGACTCCGGGGGGCTGCTGCTGAGGGTGAGAAGGGAGAGGCTCAGGAGCCCAGGGGGCGAGGAGGCTACTGCGGAGGAGCGGCCGCGCACGCAGGAGCGGTTCGAATCCCGCAGCTAGAGGAGGATGCAAGAGTTACGAGACATGCATTAAAGAGGAGGGGAAAGGGGGAGACCAACCCCCCGGCCCAGCCGCCTCTTCCTTCGGCATCCTCTCATGCGACGGTGCCTGCACCCCAAGGGCAGCCGGGCAGCGGGCTCCAGCTCCCAGGCTGAGAAGAGACAAGCCGGTGGGGGAGGGTCGAGCTTTTCTTTTTCGGTGGCGCTCCCTCCCTCCCCCGGCTGAGAAGATGTTATGGCCGAGCTGGCGGAGAAGGGCAGCGGCTGCCTAGGGACGGCGGGCGGGCGGCAGCAGCAGGATGGGGGGGCGGTGGATGGCGGGGGGCCGGAGGAGGAGGCGGCGGCGGCCGGGGCCGCTAACCCCCCTAACTACGAGGACTACGAGTGCAAGATCTGCTACAATTACTTCGACCTGGAGCGGCGCGCGCCCAAGCTGCTGGAGTGCCTGCACACCTTCTGCCAGGAGTGCCTGAGCCAGCTGCACCTGCGGGCCGCCCAGCGCCCCCCGCCCGCGCAGCCCGGCCCGCCCGGCGCCGCGCCATGGCGAGCCGGGGCCAGCGGCACCATCTGCTGCCCGGTGTGCCGCCACCGCACCGCCCTGCCTGACCAGCGCGTGCACAGCCTGCCCGTCAACACCAAGCTGGCCGAGGCCTTCCCCCTGCAGCTGCGGGCCCGCGACCCGCTGCCCCAGGACAGCCTGCCGCCCGCGCCGCGCCCCGCCGCCGGCCCCCAGCCGCGCCCCGCGCCCCACGAGGCGGGCCCAGCCCCGCGGCCGCAGCGCCCCGGCCCGCGCTCCTCGGGCGGGGGCTACGAGAGCTGCCAGAGCTGCAAGCGGGCGGCGCTGAGCGCGGGCTGCGTGTGCGTGGTGTTCTCCTTCCTCTCCATGGTGGTGCTGCTCTTTACCGGCCTCATCTTCGTCAACCAGTACGGGGGGGAGCCGGGGCCCGGCAGCCCGGCCTCGCCCTCCCCCGTGGGGCCCATCTGCCTCTCGGTCGCCAGCATCCTCGCCCTCTTCTCCGTCGTGGTCACCTGGCTCATCTGCTGGCTCAAGTACCGACCCGAGGCGGGGGCCGGGGCGGCCCCCGGGAGCGGGACCCCCAGGGGGCGGGCTGCTGCTGCTGGCGGCAGGAGGAGCCACACGTAGCGCTGGGGCCGCGGCCGCCTGTTGCTGCAGCCGCCGCCGCCTGAGGCTGGGTGGGCCCCCCGGGTGCGGGAAAGCGGGGGCCCTGCGGGGTACTGGGCCCGGGCGTTTCCACCCACGCGCTCGCCAGGCCTGGTCCCCTCTTGTCTCGGGGGATAAAGGGAGGGCAGGTGTTAGAGGAACGGATACCACAGAGCCTCGGTGCATTTGACGTGGTCTCTTCCCTTCCACACACCCTGCACTCCTTATCGCCTCTCTGCCTCCACGGGGGAATACAAGGAGCCACCCAGGGCGGGGGGACCTGCTGGCCCGCCGTGCACTTGGCCTCTTCTCTGCACGCGGAGGACGCACCTTAAACTTGTCTGTGCTCCACACTTGAGGAGGGACCCTGCAAGAGGCTTGGAGGAAGTTGGACCATTGCACCTCAGTGCACTTGCCTTCTTTCCTATACACGGGCACTTATCTGTGCTTCAGATTTGAGGGAGCAAGGCAGGGGTCTTGAGGAAGTGGGACCATTGTACCTCAATGCAGTTGTCCTGCTACTTCCTCCACAAAAGTCATGCACACAGTCCTTGATCCTAGTCTGTGGATGCAAGGAAAGACCTTGTCATGGAGAGAGGTGAAACCATTTTTCAAAATTCACTTGAACTGTTACCTGCTTCTCACCCACACATGCAAACTCCTTACCGCCCTCTCCCTTATGTTCCCAGCCTAAGGGGAAAGACCATGGGTGGGAGAATTGGAGGAGATGGGTTAGTTATTTCGGTACTCAATCCTGAAGTGCAAATCCTTCTTTGGAGAGTAGGATCTTGTTAGTGGATAAGGATGCAGGGCCATAATTTTGAGTGGCAGTGTTGTCTAGTGGATAGAACACAGACTGGAGCCAGGCACTTTTGAATTCTAATCCTGGCCTTGCCACTGATCTGCTAGGTGGCCTTGGGAAAGTGATTTAGTCTCTCTGTATCGTGGTTTTCTCCTCTGTAAAATGGGAATAATAATTCTTATTTACCTAGTTCAAAGGGAGTTGTGATGACTAATTAGTTAATGTTTGTAAAGCACTTTGAAAATGTCAAGTGCTATATAAGTGCTAGTATTATTTATTATTTATTTTTCACTACATAAAGGAAGGGAGGATAATAGAGGGAATGATATCTGGACAATTAATGAGTTTGAGATAAATGCATTCTGTACATGTATAGAGTGATGGGGGGATGTATGATGGAGAGCGCAAAGAAGGCGGGAGAATTAAGAAGTAAGATCTGTCAGCTATCTTCTTGCCAACTGGAGGGTAAGATACATGTGTCTAACAGATATAGAATGGCCTGGCATCTTGGGAAATTAGGAAAAGTCAAGGGGTAGGAAAGGGTCACACACCATTTCCCCACTTTTATCATTTATCAGCATACCCTTGTTTCCGTGCTTGCTAATGCAGAGGGGATGCAGCCGTTTATCAAAGAAAACTGGCTTACTGTTGCCCCCACCTGGAAGATAATTGAAGAGATGCATTGGTGTTGTTACAATCAGAGATGAGATGAGATGACTGTGTTCATTGTATTTTGTACTTTTCCCTTTTTAACTTTTAAAAAAAGGAACTTCAGTACATGTACAAAAGAGCTGTCTTAAACTCCTGTCTTAAAGAGACTGCGTCAAAGTATTCCCACATGTATCGAGTACCCCTCTGTTCCCCCTGTACAAGAAAACTGCCTCTATAAAGCAATTGAGTTTTTGCCAGGCCCTTGGGTGGTTGTTTAAAATAGGCTTTTCTATTTCATTTTTAGAGATTGTTGTTTAATGTGGGTAACTGAAACACTGTTTTGTGCATTTTAAACAATTTACTGAAGATGGTTTAATTAATAGACTATAGCTCTAAAACTGGGATGAGAGATTTCTGTGGCACAAAATAACAACTGATTGGCCATTCATTTAAACTTTTATATGATGAAAGGAATCCCACATTAAAATATTGATTTTCAACAGCACAGTAAAAGTGGAATATGATAGTATCATTTACGTATTGATAATTAGCCTTCAGTTACGATAGTTACAACTAGAAAGTGTTTTTCCCCCCTTCTTGATATGTTTCATTTCTGTATTATGAATTTCTCTAGAAGGCCAGGAGAACACTTTTTGTATATGTCAGGTTGGGACTTTAATGCATTTCATATATGGTGAGATATTCATAATGAGAGATGAAAAAAATGTCATATAATTTGTTTTGTAATGTACAAAGGAGAGCACTCTATGTAAGTACTATTGTATGTTGCAGGATAATTCGTTTGGTGCCTGAATTTTTAAAAAAAAACTTAATTAGCTGTTATCTCTTATATCTGGAATGAGAAACTGCTTCTTCTTCCATATTTCTACATAGTACTGTATTGGAATGAAATGATAATTTTTGTGCTTAACAATTGGAGAATTTAAAGGTGGTTGTATATTATTCCCTGTGTATTTATGCAAGCTTTCTGCATGATATCCTGACAAGTATTCTATTAATAAACCTTACTTGACCACTTCTATTTATGACAAGTGAAAAGAAATGTATTGACTATTTAGGAGCAGAAAGACAGCAACTGAAGACTTGTTTTAAGTGTGATGTGTTTTATGACTGCACAAGTGATGTGTAGTGTGCATTGTCTTGATTATCACAAACCTGTAAAAATGTAGTATTTGTACAAAGATCCATTATAATGAAAGTACTTGACGAAAACAGTATGTGATCTTTGTGTCACTTATATTCATGAACACCTAAATCTGCGCCAGCCTTTTCACACAACAGAAAATAAAAATGTTATGGGGAGATAAATTACTGGATTCTGTTCTGGCTCTGTGCTAACTTTCCGCATGACCTTGGTCAAGTTATTTAAGATGGTATTTTCAAACTTGGATTAATAAATTAGGTAGCTAAATAAAAATATACCTTTGAAAACTGAGCATAGCATTGACTAGAGTAGTAGATGTGGATACTTTGCACGTAAGAAAATCAGAGCGCTTTTATTTAAGTTTCTGTATGATGATTGAGATGCCCAACTTCAGATACAAACATTTGAAAATTTTGGCTCTAACCTCTCTGTCCCTCAGTTAATCCATGTAAAACTGGATAGCAATACTTAGCTCCCTAACATGTGGCTTCTAAGGCTTTATTCATTACAAAGTTTAAAGCAATTTGAGGTCCCGAAATAGAAGGTGTTATAGGAGTATGTAAAGCATTTTAAATAATATTAAAAATAAATGTATGTACATTAGCTGATATATTCCCCAGTAATGTTAACTGAGGAAAAAATAAACAATAATTTAAAATATATACATTCTTATACAATTAAATTAGTGGATATGATATCCATATGTTTCTAATGCAAATATAGCATTAGTTCATCAGTATTTTTATTAGTGAAGAACCAATAATGTGCAGTTTTAAACAGTGTCATATTCTCCCAGTTGGAAGCATATGCTTCATCTCTGTATTTTCTGTTCCTTCCACAAAATTATACACCTTTGATTTTTCTATCTATGTATTTGAAAATATTTCAAAGTCAAATTAAAATGGTATTGAAACACAGACAGTAGATCAGATCTGTGTGAATTTAGAATAACTTCACTGATTTCAATAGTGTTACTCTGGATTTACACCATAGTAGTGAAGAACAGAACTCATCTGTATAAATCTAATACTATAGAATCCCAGCACTATATTTGTATACTGGATTCTCTTGAAACTACAGATTACTTATGCTAAATCTAGCCTTGATCATATATCAAGCTAAAGAAAATCCATGTGACTGAACTGAGGTATATTTATTACTATAACCATCTCAGTCCCACAACTTACATTTTTTCAGTTTTTTAAAATGTTAAATATATGGGGATGGGGGATTTGAGGGGGAATTGCCTCTGCGACACTGTCTCCACAGATCCCAGACTCCAGAGAGCGGTGTGGGGTAGGAGTAGGTGGACATATCCCACTTCAGGCCCTAGGGAGAGTCACAATACAGCCCAGCCTGTATTTCCAGTATGTTCTATGGAAACCTTTTGCTGTGGAAATCACCTTTTAAGGACTTCTGGGGGTCAGTTGTGGCCAAGGATCAGAGCAAAGCACTACGGGTTACAGCAAAAGCATGGTGCTTCATTTTGAATGGCTCTGACCTACAAGTTTCCTGGGCTATATGAATCCTGAAAGATCTTCAGAGTTTTTGGTCAGGCCTAATGGCCTGTCGTTCGGCATGGATAAACCCCTCCCCTCTCCCCTCCCTGATATGGACTCACCATGATGATTTCCTGATAGTTTTCCTCTGGCTGAGCTTCCTTTTAATGATTTTTACCATGAGGGGGGGTGATCCAAACCCCAAATTACTAAAGATTGTGGGTCAGATTTTTACACAGAAGCTTTGGAATAAATCAGTCTACTTCAGTTTAGTTTAATTTACTCCAGAGTAAAACCAGTGTGTCTGAGAGCAGAATCCAGCCCATAGATGTAGAAGGCAGGAATTAATATGCCATCTTAGTATATTAGGCCTCAGCTGGAGTATTGTGTCCAGTTCTGGTTGCCACATTTCAAGAAAGATGTGGACAAATTGGAGACGGTCCAGAGAAGAGCAACAAAAATGATTAAAGGTCTATGAAGCATGACCTATGAGGGAAGATTGAAAAAATTGGGTTTGTTTAGTCTGGAGAAGAGAGGACTGAGGGGAGGGACACAAGAAACAGTTTTCAAGTACATAAAAGGTTGTTACAAAGAGGAGGGAGAAAAATTATTCTCATTAACCTCTGAGGCTAGGACAAGAAGCAATAGGTTTACATTGCAATAAGGGTAGTTTAGACTGGACATTAGGAAAAACTTCCTAAATGTCAGGGTAGTTAAGCACTAGAACAAATTGCCTAGGGAGGTTGTGGAATCTCCATCATTGGAGATTTTTAAGAGCAAGTTAGACACACCTGTCAGGGATGGTCTAGATAATACTGAGTCCTACCTTGAATGCAGGGGACTGGACTAGAAGACCTCTCAAGGTCACTTCCAGTTCAATGATTCTATGATCTTTTGTTTTGGTCAACACAGCAAGAGGCCAGTGCTGTGGAAGATTTTCCTCTGAGTTGATAGAGTGTTGTAAAAGGTCGTAATTTTGCCTTCTTTCCTATCTAGGGTATATGTTTACAGTCATGGAAAACTCTCACTGAAGTCAGTGGGGATGCAGGATTGTGTCCCAAATAAACAGGTGGTTTTTTTTAATTGGAAAGGGATATGTTACGTGTTAAATTTACAAGCTAAACGTTGTGTATGCTTCAGAGTAGCAGCCGTGTTAGTCTGTATCCGCAAAAGGAACATGAGTACTTGTGGCACCTTAGAGACTAACAAATTTATTAGAGTATAAGCTTTCATGGCTACAGCCCACTTCTTCGGATGCATATAGAATGGAACATATATCGAGGAGATATATATACACACACACACACATACAGAGAGCATGAACAGGTGGGAGTTATCTTACCAATTCAGAGGCCAATTAAGTAAGTGGAAAAAAAACTTTTGAAGTGATAATCAACATATCAAACTGTCTGTACTGGGCTAAGAAGTGTGAGAATACTTACAAGGGGAGATAGATTCAATGTTTGTAATGGCTCAGCCATTCCCAGTCCTTATTCAATCCTAAATTGATCGTATCGAGGTTGCATATCAATTCCAGCTCAGCAGTCTCTCGTTGGAGTCTGTTTTTGAAGTCCTTCTGTTGTAAGATAGCCACCTGCAGGTCTGTCATTAAATGACCAGACAGGTTAAAGTGTTCTCCCACTGGTTTTTGAGTATTATGATTCCTGATGTCAGATTTGTGTCCATTAATTCCTCCGCGTAGAGACTGTCTGGTCTGGCCAATGCACACAGCAGAGGGGCATCGCTGGCACATGACGGCACATATCACATTGGTAGACGTGCAGGTGAACGAGCCCCTGATGGTATGGCTGATGTGATTAGGTCCTATGGTGATGTCATCCGAATAGACATGTGGACAGAGCCGGCATCGGACCTTGCTACAAGGATAGGTTCCTGGGTCAGTGCTTTTGTTCAGTGATGTGTGGTTGCTGGTGAGCACTTGCTCCAGGTTGGGGACACACACACACACACACACACACACACACACACACACACACACACACACACACACACACACACACACACACACACACACACACACACACCACCCACCACCACCACCACCACCACC